AGAACAATTATAAGTCTAAATTCTGCTACGAGTATCATATTTCTGTTAATTTTTGGTACTTTCTGTGCCACTCCCCAATATTTCACATGAATGGAGGCAGAATGGGCGCAGGCAGCATTGCCAGTATTAATGCCAAACTGCAGGATGCTACAAAGTTGTACGACCAGCGCTGCAACCCAGTCAGTTAACACCTCATTTTGTCATAAAGACATAACAGAGGTGCTGTGCTTTGCTCTTGCTATGAACCAGGAAACTGCAGGAAAGGCAACAGGCTGGAACAGAGAGGCCCAGGAGCAGCAGTGAAGTTTGTAAATCTTGCATAAGGACCTCCAAGATCATCTTTGTGCACCTGCATCCTACTTGTTTTACACAACACCAGGAACTACACAACCCCACTGCTAATTTTCTGTTGAAAGAGTCCTCTTTGCTTGTGGTCCTTAAAGGTATCGATGCTTTGCTCAAATGCCGGGCTACGTACCAGAAAGCAGCTTCTCACAAACCACATTACAACAAGTGACAGCAGGTATGTTGAAGTGAATACAGGTTGTGTACACTTGATTTGGTTTCTGTTTGTTTGAATGAGTTTGGTTCAAATGACCTATGTTCCTGCGTGGTATTTATTCACACGTGTATCATCCCACAGATCTTCATGTTGCATGTGGACTCTTGCAAGCCCATGGAGGTGTCATGTTGAAATGCATGCTTCATTTTGCGTGATCCTAAACACAGCACTGTATATAAACAGTAACTGGTTCACCCTACCTTTGCTCACAAGTGATAGATAGGCAGATATTTACTTTATGTAGCTGAAAAACCTGAGGCAGTTATCCAGACATGGAACAACACAGTACACTGTTGTGACTCGTTCTCAAGCAGACAGGCTTTAACAGTTTTTCGCTCTGCCTGTTAGGAAGAAATATGCTAACACTAAAGGTCCTGGTCCTTCCCTTTTCTTTTGCATGTGACTGTAATGACAATGATGGGAACTATGTAAGCATTCCCAAATGCATGATTCATCTCAGCAAGGCAATCAACCCTTCAGAAGACCTGCTGCATCTCCAGACACACTTCGTGCATTCTGTTAAATGCTCTCACATGACAAGTGAGATCCTTTTCCATGCACGGGAATAGCTCAGTCATGTTAGGTAGCTCCCCCCAAAAAGACAGAAAGAAAAACCCCAGAATAGGCTCAGAAGTCATATTCTGCTCTATTACATGATCAGTGTCCATAGAGTAGCTCTGGTTTTCACCAGCAGAGCTCAGAGGAAAACTTGCCTCTCTTTTTAAAGAAGATATTCTGCGCCTCAGACTGTGAAATCAGCAACTCTGAGCTCAGTAGGCCCAGAACAGCCAAGTGTCCGAGCACCTTGTAGTATTTAGCGTATTTAAAAAGCTGAGAGATGCCTCACTTACAAAGGAGGAACGAGCTCTGAAAGAATTGCTCAGCCGCTCACGAGAGCTTTGAATCCCCGTGAGGCGGGGCGCGGGCTCGCGAGCGGTCTGCCCTGCCCAAGGGGAACTCTGCACTGACGGCTGCAAGGAGAAGTAGCTGGGACCACAAAGCAATGCCCACGTATCGTTGCACCAGTCGGGTATGTGACACATTGCTGTGTCTGGTAGGTACGTGTGTTTAAAAACAATACCAAGCTGCCTCTCGTCTGTGGGAGGGCTCCATTCAACACTCGGGCTTTTAAACTCTCCTTCAGGAGACTGCTTTTTTCATCTAAGGGGCAGGCTGAGTATGGGGACAGATGGTACTCCACCTCAGCAGGGCCTTTGTAGTCCCTGCGGAGCTGGAGCCACAGGTGGCTGAGGTTTGAAAGCGCCTTTTTTCTTCGGTGGCTTTGCCATAACAACTGGCGTTTGTTAGGTGCAGATGTATGCGGCAGTGCACGATGCAGGCTAACGAGGTGGTCCTCTCACGTCCTTGAGGCAGGACCAGAAACCAGGCTTTAATGGGATGATTAATGGGAGAGAAGCTGCTTGCTTAGGGACCAGAGGGAGCACTTCTTTTTTTCAGGATGCTGCTTTGCTTGAGAAACATGCTTTTAAAGTCAATTCACAAGGAAACATTCAATTTCAGCTTTCTGTTACAGAAACTAGAATCACCCTTACATTTAGATGTTTTGGAAAGAAAACCATGTACAGCACTAGGCTTTATCCATCCAATATTTTATCCAAAAAGCTAATACACAGCTATTTTGAGTGCGGCACTCATGCACGAAAGGGAACAAAGTGGAGAAAGACTGCAATAACCTTCAGAGGGTTTTTATTTGTTCTAGTGCTACAAATGATGTGGTAAATAATTGCTACTGTACCTTTTTTGCTGTGCTTAAACGATTGTTGTGTTTATTAGAAATAAATACCTTCATACCAAAAAGGCGACATCTTTACAAAAGTAGCCCAATTTTCTCAACTGAAGTACAAAGTTATACTTAAAAGGTTGTGTTTCAAGAGCGCGGCATAATGATTGAAGCATACAGCTACAATGACAGTTTTTGTACCAGGATATCAACAGCACAATCCTCCACCACCACCACCACCTCCCCTGCTTGTCCTATGTCCTAACATGCTTGAAGCTTGAGTTGTAGTGGTCTAATTTCTCTAAAAATCAATATAAAATGAAGCAGCTTACATCTTTGTTTAAAATTTTCTTTATGATTTGGAACTTGCTGTGACTTTCTCTCCAGGCGATATAGTCCTGTTGCTTGGCCTTACAATTTTTTCCCCTCTCAATATGTCTCTTTTTCATTTTTTGTTTTCTTTCTTTAATTTAGAAGGACATAACTCTTAAATTTTATTCTACACCACAAATAAGTCAGTACGCATTGAAGTAGAGGTGAGACATATCAATTCTACAAACAGGCATTGTGTTGCTTATTTTTAAATGCTAAAACTTTGGATCAGTCTTTCTGGGTGGTAACTTGTTTTCTTAGGTTGGGATATGAGCTAATGGGCAAAACTATATTGCTCATCTGAATCTGTTCTTTTCTGTAATCTGAAGCACCTGGTGGAAGAATTGTCATAGAAATTTAAAAAGAGCCTTGTGAGGTAGACAGCAAATACACTAAAAGTCAATGTAAGCTTGATGCTGAATTTGCTTAAATCTTTTTGTAAATTCCAGCTTCAAGTGGCTTGATTGTTAAAAGTGCTGAACAATCCACGCCTGAAACGGGAGGCTATTGGCTGAATTTCCATGAATTTAACTGTGGGGGCTCAGTTTCAACAATCAGACCATATGCATTGTTTTTGTAGAAATATAAAAGGAGAAAACGAAATAGAGCAAAAATAATTACTGTGAGACTCAGGTATTTGTACATGGTGCTTTGCAGCTACAATTTCTGTTTGCTGATTTGATCATAGCGTTACAAGGTTGTGTATGTCGAAGCCAACTAACCAGCTACTCATGTTAGTTTACATGTTTTTCTGTTTTTGATCAGGAGTTCATATTTATTAAAAGCATACAGTAACATGCTGTTACTCAAAACATAGCAAAAATATACAAAAGAGATATTTCCCAAATATTTTTTAAACATTCAGAAAGTTAAAGGTATTTGTTAACTAAATAACAACAACAACACAACATCCTGCCACCATGACTAAAATACTCTTTCTGCGTAGCCTTTTTGTTAGTCTATGTTGTTTAGGTATGGGTTCCCTTCCACAGTATTACACCAATTTCAAAATACTTAATTAAAACAATATGTCTTGGCTTTTTTCTTCCCAGCCAGTCGGGTGATTAGTTCAATTTGCTTATAGAATTTGGGTATTTAAGTCCCGCCGTTTCCTTTGTTTAGCTCAGGGGTCTTTGTAAGTCTTATTTTCTGCACTCCCATTTTATTGGTTTTTCATTTCCAAGAAAAAGGTGCTCTCATACAGGGTGATGATTGCAAAGAGAGAAATCGCTGGGAGGAATCCCTTGGAGGAAAGGAAAAGATGCAATGGTGAGGCAGAGCGATGAACGGCACACTGGAAAAGCATGGCTGCATTTTACCTTGGATGGAGTTGTATTCTGAGGAGAGGCGAGCTGTTAGAGCAGCAGCTGTATGGTATCGGTTTAACCAGTTTGCCTGACTCATTTAGACAGAGAGAGGTTTCATTGCAAACTGTTTTCAGGATCAGATATGCTACCCTGACATCTACCCAATGCCAGGTGTGCCTGCAGGGAGTCGGTGACGCAGACCGACGCCTGGAGGGCTGTGGGGAAAGCCAGCCTCTGGGCAAGTGAGGCATGTCCCCTCCAAGCAAGGTGTCACAAGGGGCAGTTCCTGACGTTAGTTTAGATATAGAGACCTCTATATCTAAACTTTTCCTTTTGCATAGAAATACTGGGGAATCTGTGTACTTGATATAGGAAATCAAAAGATAGAATGAAATTACTGTGTAGGTTTTTCTTTTCTCACTTTAAAGAAGCCTAGTTAGTCATGTATAAATGGATCTTGGCGTTTTCTGGTGAAGGGTAGAATTACTCTGCAAACTATCCTACTGTGGTTTCTTTCAGTCAACTGGAATCTACAGTCACCTTCATCTTTCTTCTGTTATCCAGTGCTTATTTTCTTCCCTCCTCCTTTTTTTGTTATCCAGTGTTTTTTTTTTTTTTTTTTTTTTTTTTTTTTTTTTTTTTTACAGATGGAGTATTTCTCTCAGAGCTTGAAACCTCTGGCAGGAGTTTTGAGTATAAGCAGATTACATCCTTCTTCAAAGGAGGCTATTATTTCCAAACACACTGCACCTCTACTATGCCTTCTCAGGCATGTTTGGGACTGGATTCCTTGTGCTAGTTTTGAGATTAGTTGGGGCTGGTTTGAACTTTTGTGCGAGGTGCACTTGCCTCAGCACAGCTCCAGAAAGGCAACTCGCAGGGGTAAGTTGTCCTGATGCGCTGCTTCCTCATTTATCCTCAGATCCCAAGCCTCTGGGCTTAGCATGCGCACCGTCGGTACGAGAATGTATTCTCTAGCTGGGTTTAGTCGTTCTAATGTCATTTAGGCAATGTTTACTCAATATTCACCACTCTCAAACCTTAAGGCCTGTCCTTCATGCTCCGCATAGCTGTTCCCCGGCAGAAGTCCATACCGATAGCTATCCAGGCTCTCGGCTGGCTCAGACTTTGTGGGAATTGGGTCATGCTGGTAAAGCAATGCTGACTTTATCATCCCAAAGTCTTCCTGAATCTTCATCCCTGAATAGATGGTGCCTGAGACGTTTTCTGCCACGTGGGTATAGCTCTGAAGATTTTTCACGTCGCAGAGGTTGTCACTGTATTTCACCACTGATGGCTTGTAGGCCTGGTAGGACACTTTAGTGGTGGTGGTGATGACGGTTTGTAATGGTGGCGCTAGGGGAGAGGCACTGTTACTGTATCTGCAGGGATACTCCCCGCTGTAGTAAGGATGATTCGTGTTGGTTTGGATCTGTCCATAGTCACTCCTGTCTCCACTGCCAGCTTTCCCCCAAACTGGCTTCAATCCATAATGCCTACCAGTATTATCAAAGCTCTTATCATGAGTGGTCACAGAGTTACACTGGGATCCATTCAGGTCGGTGTCAATGGGAATATCTGTGGTATCTTTATAAAATGTTGGATAAGAAGTGGAACTTACAAAAGTAGGAACTCCAAACTCGTAGCTGCAGGCCCTAGGCATGTAGATCCTTGGGTTAGGATACTTTTGGTATGGTGATAGCTGGTCCTCTTGGAAGCTGGTTGAGTCATAAGAAGCTTTGTAGAGATCAGCATTTTGTGGTGAAGGATAAGACTGAGCAGGAACTGAAAAACTGGTGTCGGTGATGATACTGACTCTTTCTGGGCCTTCCAGGCAGGGCAGATTCTGTATGTTACCGATATAGCTGCTGCTGTCATGATGTCTTCCTACCTGAGGAGGACAAAAAAAAATAGATACCTGAGGTTCAGGAATAGATATGGCACACACACGTGCCTTGTAGTTGTGTTATTGCAGTCGCCCTTGCCCTGATCCACTTGGGCACAGCTGAATGGACAGATGTAGCACGGCATAAAGCTTTGTTTTGCTCTGTGATTCCTCGTACACGCTTATGCCATCTTTCTAATTAACTGAAAAATCTTGACTTACGTCTGAGTTTAGAGGTCTCTTTTTTTGGGAATGGTGAGAAGAGGACACTTGCTTCTTAATTGCACTTCTTCTTGCCTCTGCCTCCAGTTTACTCTCTGGCCTGGGGTGGTCATGGACTCCTTTAGCCTAAAGTAAGGTTAACAAAGAATTGCTTGCTTATCTAAACAACACAAATAAGCTGATAAACAGTGCAAACACTGTAGTTATTATTTTATAGGCTTCCTGAGATTACCAGGAACTAGATTCATCCTGTCTTAATTTAGGCACCTGACTGCTGTGCCCACATTAGGATCCCTGTTATCCTATGCTGTGCCTGCAGTTTCTGAGGCAGCACTAGGCATGAGGCGGAACAAGGTAAGATTACTAATAGGGTTCAAGAGAAAATGCAGTAGAATACAAGTAAAATGAGTAGCAGCCACAGCGCGGACCGTGGTTGAGCACAAATAGACTACGAGAAAAAAACTAAAGCACAGGGAGAATTTAAATTAAAAAAAAATTGCGACTTGCAGATATATAGGAGTAGAAAGTGAAGGAGAAGCTAGTGGTGACTGCAGAGCTGTGAGCCTGGGTCATGAAGGAGAAAAGATTTTGTTTACTTCCGTAACATTCAGGAGTAGATGATTAGAACCAAGAAAAAAGGAATATATATTTAATTTGGTCACTTCTCTGCAGTCCAAGATCTCGCTTCTGCTTTGTAACAGCTACCACTAAAACAGCATAAATGGGCTTTAAAGAGACTGCACACTACCAGATGGCAAGTGTTCTTTACTCTAATAAGCAATAAATACCTTCTTGAAGAGGACTGAAGCATATACCTGGAAAGCCATCCAAAGATACTCTCCTACTGAAAGATCTATGCTTGCATGTATGCAAAACTATGCTGATATATGGTAAAGTACTGTATGCCACATGTACTTACTCATTACATTTTCCCATGTGTGAGTGGACTTGAGCATAGTTCCTAATGCATACTAGGAAAGTTGACTTTGCTTTTAAAATTGCTTTCATTTTCCCAATAGAAATTAACTTTTAAGAGAGGATTTATCACCTATTTTGATTTTTAAAAATTGCTTTACAGAAATGCAAAATTTATGTCTGAATAATAACAATATTCTATAACAAGTGAGAATTCAGAAGTGTGACCAGTTTGCTTCTTTTTCCGCACTGGACAACGGAGAGACTGGAAACTGGGTCAGAAAAAAAAAATCCAGCAGAGCATGTAATCTCATCAAATGGAAGCTTTTTGTGAAGTTTTGTCCTAATGCTGCTGAAAATAGAATAACAATGTAAAATTTCAGAATTCAACTTTTAAGTTTTCCTTTTCTGGCAAGTTTCTAAATTATCTTAAAATTCAAAGGTCAATTTCGGATTAAATGGAACTTTCACAATCAAACTTGCCTGGTTTAAGTCTGGCTTTCCTTCCTGCCCCCCACCCTCCCTTTTTTTTTTTTTCTAATAGAAAAATAAATATTAGGTCCTTAGTTCAGTTGTCAGAAATGTGCCAAGGTCCCGGACAGACTTCTCTTCGTATTTGTACACTGCAGTCAAGAGAGTTTTAGGTATCTATGATGACATTAGAAAACATTTAACCCTCAAGTACTGCATTAAAAAAGGAAGGCAAGTGCCACTGTTTATTTATTATTTCCATTATTGTAATATGGAGGAATCCAGTCATAGGTCAGAACTCCACCACTCTGTCTTATACAAAACAGTGAGAGGAAAAAAAAAAGGCGGTGGAGGGTGGCTTTTTACCTGGAAAAATATCGCTTTACCATCCAGCCTCCAGAAGTTGGTGACCGGGTAGCCGCTGTGTCCTCGGCAAGGAATCAGCTCAAGGGCTGAGTTACAGTTTGGACAGGCTTTCTCTGTAAACACGGATAAATTAACACTGGTTAAAAGTGAAGGTGGTGTGCAAGAGTAACACCGATCTCAAGAGCGGTATGATCAGTCTTTCTCTGAAATTCAGAAAAAAGCATGATATTCAATTATAACATAGACTACCAAGCACAGCAATGATAGGGACCAGAGCTTTACATGCAATATAAATGCTAACGACTGAAAGGCTTGTAGGTCCATTTCCCCTGAGCTACACGTTGATGAAATTTGGAGCTAAATCATGCTCTTTGCGGCGATGCCTCCGTTGGCGTGGCAAAACTCAGAAAGGAAACAAGCAAGGAATCCATGCAAGGAAGTGAGCTTGGTCTCAGTTAAGCCATCAGGACCAGCTGGAAGAAGCAGCCACCCCTCGGCGTCCCTCACTTTGTTGCTTCTGCCGAGCCTTGTCGCATATGGCGGGGCGAAGCTGGAGGCGGGTGCCGCCGGGCAGCGCGCAGTGGCCGGCGCACACCACCACCCCCAGGCAGGACTTCTTGAGGATCTGGCAGTTGTGGTTGTTGGTGTTGCGCATGGCCCAGCCGCTGAGGTGCCGCTGCGCGTTCTTCTCCTCGCTGGAGTAGACGAGCCGCACGTAGCCGTCGGGCCATTCTTGGAAGCTGTCGAAGTGCTTGGGCTCCTGCGGCAGAGGAGGGAGGGTGGGAGAGACAGGTAGCAAGCAGGAGAAAGGGAGAGGGAGGAAATTGGGGACAAAAGATGGTTATCAGGATATTGCAACCTGTTGGTTTGGTCCTATTTCAAAATATTTAATGGGAGAAGAGACTTTCTCTATGATCTTCCAGGGCAGCAAAAGTCAGAAACATCAGAGAAAAAAAAAAAAAAAAAGCAAAATTTTTTTTTTTTAAATAACTTATTCAGACACGTTCTACAAAAGAGGAGAGGTGTTTTGAACTTCCATGCCTCACAAGAAAGCTGTGATCCTTTCCTCTTATGCATCACGGTCAGTAATAACACAGCCTCTTGTCATTGATGCCTTTTTTTCCGTAAGGTTGCCCAGCTGTTGCAGACTGGTCTTGTTACCAGAACTTACTGTCTAGTGCTGCCCTGCTTGGACTTGCTATTGAATACTCCTTGTTTTACACCTGCAGACTGAAAACTAGAAGTTTTGGCTAAGTAACAGTTTAATGCACCTAATAAGACTTGAATAAGCATTCTGGAAAAAACAGAAGTTACCATTGTGCCTATACCTCCTCTATATGAGCAGAGGTGTTAAGAGAAAGAAATTTTCATTATGGGATGTTATCTCTGGCTTTCTGGAGTAATGCAGTGGATGCAATTATAAAGAAAGAATAAAGGATGCGAGAATAAAGAAAGAAAAAGAGGCTGACATTTTTAAACTCTCTGCAGCACTTTTATATTTAACATATATGTGTACATACACGAACAATCCTAGTGAATTCAGTAAAACCATCAGCATTTACAGAGTTCAGCCATTCTGTAAGTGCTTGGCCTCTGATTTGTTAAATAATAAACTCCAAGGTGAAAAGAGATGTTAAATAAAAAAAAATGCATTTAGGGCTCACTTAAAAACCAATGGAATGTTCATTGACAATAAAATGGATTAATCAGACACATCAACAAAACTGATGAAATGTTTAGATGGCTTGAAATAAATTAGCAGAAATCAGTCAAGCCATACTGCTTTTGGCATTTCTTGGAAAGGGGGAGAAGGGAGGAAGAAACTGGTCCAACAGTGGCACTGAAGATTGTTTTAGGAGTTCAAACACAGCTAGCCAAAGCTGTGTATCAAATCCATCTTTTTGTTACAAGTTATTCTGTAAGAACTACTGGACAGCCTTAAGACTTCTGTAATTACATTTAAAAGGTAAGAGATTTTGAAAGGTAAGAGCCCAACGCTGCCAAGAGCGAGGCTGGGACTCCAGGTCCAGGAGGATTAAACCAGTTGTGAAATGAAGTGCTTTCCACCTGCTGGAAAGCACTGCTTCATTTGGAGGTAACACTTGTTCCCTCGTTAGACTAAAACGCTCACAGCCTGTGAAAGTTTCATGCATGGCAGAAGCAAGAGACGCAGCCAGGCACCCAGAGGCCAAGCTCTGGGAAAGGGCTGGCGCAGCAGGGACCCCGCAGTCCCACCTTGGATGGGGACACACAAGCGGCATCACCAGCAGCGTGCCCCCAAGTTTTAGCCAGACAGCAATTTGGGGAAAACCAAAAAACCGCATTTCTGAAACAACTCCGCAGCCCGGGCAGTGCGTCCCCCGTGGCCTGGGCCCCCCTACCCCGGTACCTGCGGCAGCTGGGGGTCGTTGATGTCCCAGGTGAGCTTCATGCCGAGCGCTGGGGCAGGCTGCGCCTCACGCTTTTATGCCGGCAGAGGCG